TATAAACCATTGGCCGCGAAAGTGTGATCAAGATGGATGAATATGGAATGCCAATAAATCACATTTCGTATCGATCGGCCGCCGTGCACACCATGGAGACTTTCGAGACTAGTTCACTGACAATATCAAGTTAATAAAAAAGGCAAGCTTGCGATAAGAGTCGTCTGCAGTCGAAATTCCCAACTTTTAGAGACCCCGCGAGTTGGAGAAAACTAAAAGAAAAATAACACAAACATTATCGATTGTATTTTATTGCAGTTAAAGCCACACCGATTGAAGTTTTTAGTCACTCATATGTACATATGTACTATGTACTATGTATTAAGACGTGGCTGTGAAGCTAGTTAATCGCGAATTGCCGACAAAAATGATACCAATCGACGGGCTATAAAAAACACTTTACTTGGGTGTTTATTATTTTTAATAACAATAGCTGGGGTGTTTACTTAGTGCAATACTATCTACGAACACACTGCCAATTGGTAAACGCATAGATGATATGCGTATCATGAAATTCTTGTTATCTTTATATATGTAATTCAACCAAAGGAAAACACTTCTTATTTTGTTTCTTTGAAAGGTGATAGCAACTGCAAAATCAAATTTCGTTTAAATGAAATCAATGAGTAAAGACAAGATTCTGTTTTGCCCAGAAGCGGGCATTGGAAAACTTTTGAAACTTCTTCTTGTGGAACTTTTAAATCAAATACATAAGTTTTTTTTGATAAAATTTATATAACAGAGGTTAGCTGTGGCGCTATGTATATACATACATATGTACAAATAGTCACAAGGAAGCTCGAAATTTGAATTTCCAGGTGTGTAGGAAATAGCATAAAATTTGTGTTTAAATGCCATGGCGAGTTGAGCTTAGAGAGTTTATATATAGAATGGTGGATTATGTTGGAAAGTTCGCCTTTATTTCGATTTTTGGCTGTTTGGCCATGAATTTCACAACGGATTTTTTGGCACACTCCTTCTTTTAGTTTTTGGAAAAAAAGAATAAAACTGCCTGAAATTGCTCGGCCAAAACAGTAAATAATATAATTCAAAAATAGCTTTAAGGCAGAAATAACAAAAACACTAGCACCAACACACGCGAAAAATGTGGCAAAAAAAAGAGTGCCACGAATAAAAGACAATAATTAAATTAGTTGGGTCGAAAATACCAATAGGCAAATATTGGAGGGTAGGAAAACAACACACACACACAGGCAACGGGGCTTATCAGCTGACGGCGCAATTAAGTAAATTCATCGATGATAACCCCATACATGTAACCAGAAGATAGTGGGAGAAAGGGAACCACAGCTAGAAGCAGCTTTATTGGACGGGGCAATTTCCATTAAACGAATTGAAGAAAACACAGAGCGGTAGAGACAGAAAGAGAGTGAGAGAAAGAGAGAGACTGAGAGTTGCATAATCTCAATCACAGAAGCTCAGCTCAGCTCAAAGTAATGTAAAGAGCAAGCATTTAACTGTACAATAACATACATACAAACAGACACACAAACACTGCTATACACTTTATGTAAATGTATTTCTTCTTGCCGTCGCCTGCTGCTGACGTCTGAAAAGCCGCTAATGAGACGGAACTTGGACAGCGCGTATAAATAAATACAAAATTCAGATTGTGTATACGCGACCAGAGCGTGCACTCAGCCTGTCGAGGATTACTTTTGGCATGGACACGAATCATTCACAAAAATCGAGCTTTCCGCCCACTCATAATTCATTCAGCACCTTATTACTTTTCCTTTACCTTGATCTCAAGTGTTTTTCTTTGGTATTGATGTGTGTGTGCGTATATTTGCGCATGAGTGTGTGCGTGAGCTGTTTGCAAGAAAACAAGATGTTGCCAGGGGTAACGCATGGAGGGCGCTCTGATTGCCATCAAACTTCTAGAATAGTTACATCCCCAATAAGTATGTATAGCCAGAGCATGGAGTATACGTACGTAAGTACGTATAAAAATGTACATGCTTTGGTTCTTTTCTTTCACCCTTTGTGGCAAAAGCAGCCGTTTATGCTACACACACGCATGCACATACACACACTACATGCATATATATGCAGAAACTTGCATACGGCAAACATTTTTTCTGTCCACGTCTACAATGGTGATTCGACCACAAAGTTTTATTTGGCTAAGTCACACATAACACATAACATATTCCACTATATACAAATAATCAAGCTAACTCACCGTCACCGCTATAGCATTTTTTCGCGTCAATTCCACTAGCTGGGTTTTTATGTTTACATCAATGCCATTTATCGGATTTATCGGTTAAATATACCGCCGACCCTCAGAAATATACCAAAATATACGGCCACACTTTTAAAATATACCGTATATATACTGAAGAATTAAAGTTATATTACACATATTCCTCGTTTTTGATATTCCATCGAATATAACTAACTAGATAGATCTCTCAACCCTGCTCACATAGTTTTATCCAAATAATGAACCTATTTACTACTTGACTGGCTTATTTTAAATACTTGCTTTTATTGGATTAAGTCTAAAAAAAGGGTTTCAGAGAAAAAGGTCGAAAAAAACGGATAGATGTTCCTATTGCTCAATTTTGATATTCCGTTGAATAATTCTGGCTAACTAAGATTTTTAGCTCTGCCCACATAGTTTTTTGCCGTTGATGATTAATATTTCTACAAGATTAATTACTTTTAAGTACTCCCATTTATTGTATTTTGACTGCAACAAGGTTTCAACAAAAAAGTTCCACAAAAAACCAGTCGCAATTTTGTCACGTGAATGTTGCTGGTAATTGAAGACTTGTTGCTTATCAACCTGAGTATGGATATTTATATACCCTATATATTACATATATAAATTTTCTCAAATAAATATATATTAAACGTATTAATGCATTAGCTTCAAAATTTCGTTGAAATTCCTTTTTAACAAAGGCTGCATTCATGAGATCATGAGATGACAAACATTTCCGCAGTGCTATATCATTTTCCTTAGGGTATGCAGAATGTTGCCCATGTTGCGGACCCGTTTTCTCGGCACATGAGTCTGGCCCTTACAATGAATGAATGAAATTCATTATTGCTACCGATTCATACCCGATTCAGAAAGAGCGAAAAAGAGAGCCTTTACCGATTTGAAGAGAGCGAGAGAACCAAACACTTTCAATTAGGCCATCATTGTGCGCGCCAAATAGATATTGTCTGAAAGTAAATGAGAGAAAATGAGGATTTAAATGCAATCTACTGGAATAAACGATACTCGTAAGTACGATTTAAGAGCGAAAATCCAAATAACCTCCGGGTGGAAGTTTCTATACCATTTGTTCTGAAATATACCTTTTATTAAGTATGAAAAATACCGCACCCGGTCACCCTGTACATAATGGAAGGAAAAGATCTTAGCCCACTTATGCCTTCTTTATTTAGACCGCGGGAAATAATACTAATAATAATAATTATTCTTGTGGATCTATTCCTTATTCTATTCCTCATCTTACACCTCAACTATGCTAAAATTTCTACTGGTGTACAATGGGGTGATCGTTCACTGTGTATGGAACGATACTCATTGTTGCGATGAAAATCCCTCCCACCAAACGGCTATCGATACTATCGACTGGATAATTGAGCTGCGCGCTATGTTTGAAATGAGTAACAAGGAAGAAGTACAATTTGAGAGAGCGAAAATTAAAAAAACCCGCTCGGCTTACCGACTGTCCTGTAGTGAATACACTTTTATTTAGCTTCTCATCTTTCAGTGGTTCCGATTTGCAGTATAAATAAGAGTGCAAGATTTATTTCGATTTTCTCCAACAGAGTCTTCAGCCCACAATTATAAAGATCAATGATGTCCCATATTTAGGTAAAAATCCGAATACATTCGTTTTCTGGTTGCACAAAATGCTCCAACCCATATTTAATAGATTTGTAGTAACTTTTTTTTAATAATTTCATAGCACCTCTTAAAGTCTCATAGACGACAGAATTAATAGTTTCAATGCTGTCACCTTAACAGTCTTTTAATTAGCTTTAATAATTTGATAAAAAATTATTCTTATAGACTTATAGCAGTCAGCTTTAATAGTATCCTAGCTGAGATCTGCAATAGATTCACAGCAGCCAGCTCTAAACGTTTTGAATGGCTTTATAGCAGTCTACTTTGATAGTTGAATTTCAGGCACCGAAAGTAGTTTCAAAACCAGCACCTTATAGTTTCATATCAGCCACATTTAAAAGGTTCATATCAACCAGTTGTAGTTGTTTCATACCAGCAAGCTCAAGTAGTTTCATCATAGTTTCGCAGCAGTCAGCATTGATATTATACAGCAGACTCCGTTGGCAGTTTTATAGCATACAGCGTATAGATTCAAAGAAACCAGGCAGTTCCGATTTTTTTTCAGTGTGGTGTTCAATGTCAATGTCCCTATTTTGGGATCCGACTGTCTGTCTGTATGTGGACTGGAATGCTCTCTAGACCGTTCATTAATTGAATTGTGTCACAGCCACTTGATTGCTGTTATCTAAAAGACAGGAACGTATACTTATCAAGTATGAAGGTGTTGTCTAACTTGAAACAAACAAAGGGAAGCAAAACATGTAGTTTTATTGTTAACCTTTATTTTTGGAACAGCTTCTTAAAACTGTAAACATTCCCAACTTTATCTGATATGTATGTGTTCCCGTGAATTAAATCACACTCTCGTGTATGCGTTGGCTCCTTAAACATTAACCAATCCAAGGTGGCGAGAAAGAGACTTAAATTAATATAGACGCGTTCGAAACGATTTAAAATCTTTAAAATGTCCCATTTAAACTGAGATTTACTCTCTCTATTACAACCTCTCTCGCTATTGCTTAAATTGTTGGTACCTCAGCTTTGAGTTCGAGTTCAGTCGTTTATATGGACAAAATATTGGTCGTTTCGTTTGTACATAAGCAATATTCTGAGAACCTGAGATACACTTCACACACAATGTAGTTTTAATTTTATATCGGCCTTTAGAAAAATGCTTATCATTTACATAGATTTAGTCCTTAGCTAATTAAAAAAAAAAAACTATTTACACTTAATAGTCGAATCCAACAGGTCCCTCCAAAGATGATATTGTTCCCTTGGCTTGATCTTGTGCACGCTGATCACGTTGCGAATTTTGCACGGACGGAGCGAGATTCGGCTGTTGAGAAATTCGTTGGCGTGCTCCCTCCTAATCTTTAACCTTTTGGCCACGAAGCCCGTGATGAAGACATCTTCTAGTTGAATATAGTAAGTGTTGAGTGATTGCACGTATAGCTCATGGACAATGTCGCCAGTGAGGAGGTACGCGGGTCCGGTGGTAAACGGAGGATACTGCCAGCCGTTATACAATTTATATGGAACAAAATACTTTGACGTTCTTTTTCGGATGGGTTTCCAGTCCTCGACCAATCGCCCGTAGATAGTTCGATCGTTCTTGTACCGAGCGTCTATGAAATCGAGCAGTTTAGGAACATTGATGAACATGTCATCATCTGTCTTAAGGATGAATTTCACATTGGGACAGTGTGTATCTGCCCATTCAAGCATCGAGATCGTCTTCAGAGTGAGATTGAAGTACGAGTCTATGAAGTGGCCTCGTATCATATCGCCATAAATATTGTTCTCCTTGTTGAGAGACTCGTTCAGAGATGCATTCGTGGTACGGCCAAGGATAAAAGCCATGCCGACAATTTGCCTGCTTCCATAGTTCATCCAGGTCCGCCTTATGGACATTCTTTCCTTAAAATTGGACTGTGCTGAGGTGATCAGAATGAGCAGCCGTAGGGATAACCCCCTGTGCATACATATCTTCTGTATATCAATCTCTTCGTTTAGGTGGCCTGGTTCATACAGTTTCATTGCCAGCTCTCGAAGTACAGGCAACGCGGAGGGACCACTTAATGTTTGTATGCTGCTACTGTACTTCTTCATTTCAATTAATTGGTTCCGCAAAATTGTCTTGATATCTTCGATCCCCGACGACTCTGTCAGTTGGTTGGAAACAGCCAAAAGGGATTGAAAACTTTTATTCCCCTCCAGATAAATGCTCCTATCTGTGGAAGGAGATTTACAGATGAGAGGAGTTGAGGTGGAGGAATACTAACTACTGCCATGATTATTGATCGTGCTGCTGTTGATTTTGTCTGCAAATAAAATATGAAATCATATTATGAAGTCGCCTAGCAAGACTCACTAGTAACATTTTGCTTGATTTGATGACGCATCGGTAACCCTGTAACGGAATATTCCTGTGTCCTAGAGAGGATCTCTTTCGCCAAAGAAAATTTATACATGAGCATTATGATAATGACAGCACCGAAAACCGTAAAAAACCTCATCCTTTGGGTCCTGGACATCTTCTTCTTGACTGGACATAAAAACGCTTGTCTTTTATTCCGGTGTTCTCTAATTGTTCCGACAATGAACATACAATTTTGATAAACAATCCCGATGATTTTCTATTGCACTAAACACATGTGAATTTTCAATACAATAAACAGTCGGAACGGTATTGTCATGGCCCACGTGCCTCTCAGATGGTATAGTAGGAGGGGCAGGATTATCTAGTACATTTAAAATACACTTGTTTCAGTGTTGCATCGGAGGAGAATGTAGAGCAAGTCCGGTTGATCTAGCTCTTATGGTCTCGGGGATCTCTGAGCTATATCGACTCGTCTATTGATGCTGATCAAGAATATATACTTTATAGGGCCGGAAACGCTTTCTTCTGGGTGTTAAACACATCAGGATTCACCACAAATCAAATATACCTGCATGCTCTTTGAGTATAATGAATATGTATGAGTATATGAGTATGAATATGTACATATATGAGTATATGAATATGTACATATATAAAATGAAATTAGTTCTCTCAGCTTTGCGTTCGAGTTCAATGGATTATAAGGAACGATTTATAAAATAAATATTAGTAATTTAATTTTTACATATATGTGTATGGATTATAAGGAACGATTTATAAAATAAATATTGGTAATTTAATTTTTACATATATGTATATTCTCAACACCTAAGATCACACATCACATACAATGTAGTTCTATTTCTGTATCGGGCTTTAGCTAAATGATTATCTTTTACATAGATTTAGTCCTTGTTCGAAGGAAATTATTCACACTTTTTAGTCGAGTCCATGAGATTCCTCCAAAGATTGTACTGTTCAATTGGCTTGATCTTGTGTACGCTAATCGCATTGCGTATGTTGCACGGAAGGAACGAGATTCGGCTGTTGCGAAATTCGTTGGCGTGCTCCCTCCTAATCTTTAGCCTCTTGGCCACAATTCCCGTGATGAAGACATCTTCTAGTGGCATATAATACGTATTCAGCGATTGCACGTATAGCTCATGTACAATGTCGCCAGTGAGGAGGTAGGCGGGTCCGGTGGTAAATGGTGGATAAACGGTGCCCCGAAATTGTTGGCGAGACACAAAACTTTTAGACTTCTGACTTCGAATTGGCTTCCACTTCCTGGCCAAGCGCCCGTAGATGCTTCGAGCTTTCTTTTTTCCCTCTATGAAGTCGAGCAGTTTAAGGACATTGATGAACATGTCGTCATCTGTTTTAAGGATGTACTTCACACGAGGACAGTGCGTATCCGTCCATTCTAATAAAGAGATCGTCTTCAGAGTGAGATTATTGTAAGAGTCCATGAAGTGTCCACGTATCATATCGCCATAAATATAGTTCTCCTCGTTAAGAGACTCGGTCAGGGACGCATTCATGGTACGGCCAAGCACAAAGGCCATGCCTACATCTCGCCTGCTTCCATAGTGCATCCATGTGTGTCTGATAGACATTCTCGCCATAAAGTGAGAGTGTTCAGAGGCGATCAGAATGAGCAGCTTTAAGTATTTTCCCCTGTGTCTACATATACTCTTTATATCAATCTCTTTGTTTAGATGGCCTGGTTCATAGATTTTCATTGTGAGTACTGGACGATCAGGTAATAACGGGGCAGCACTTGATGTTTGTACACTGCTAATGCCCTTAACAGGGCTCACAATGGGTACGGATTGGTGGGACTTTTTTCGAGGGTGTGCTTTCTTCCTGGATTTACTTCTGTTTTTATTAAATTGGCTCGGTTTTATTGTCTTGATATCTTCGTTTTCAGCCGTCTTTAGAAGTGGATTGGAATCTGCCGAAAAGGCTTGTATACTGCTATGCACTACACTGAGTTTTTTCTTCTCCAGTTTATTGCTTCTTTCTGTGAAAAGAGATTAAACAGATAAGCAGAGCTCAGGTGGAGAAATAATTACAAATAATTACACACTTACCAGTAAGTGGATAATTTCCGATGTTGCTGCCATGATTTTCGCTGGGATGATTGCCTGAAAATCAATGATTAGATAACAATAAGAAGTCACTTGACAAGACTCACTCAACACATTTTTCTCGATTTTATGGCGCATCGGAAACCCTCCAATGGAAGGCACATGTTTGCTTTCCTCCGCCGAGAAAGAAGCGTCGATTAAGGTTATGATAATGACAGCACCTAAAACCATAAAGAACCGCATCCTTTTGGTGTTTTTGGTTCCGACAAAAACCTACTGGACATACAAATTCTCTCGCTTGAATAACTTTATATTTTTTCAATGTTTCGTCACTAAAGAAAAGAATGTGGTTAAACTGCAATGATAACTGAAATTTAGAAAAAAAAAAATAACGATGATCCCAAACAAATTCTAATTTTCAATACATTAAGCAGTCGAAACGTTTTTGTCAAGGCACACCTTAAGATATCAGGGTATTATCATTCAAAATATGTACATATTCAAAGTAGTATATTAAGTAGATGAAATATATGTACATAGGGTCCAGGGTCAGGCAATTGCTAATCTCTTTGCTACATTTTTCCAAAAAACATCCGATTTCAGTAAAGCATTTGACTTTGGAAACCATCTAATATAATAATATACATAATTTATAAAACTACTATACATATCCCTAAAGTCTTCTTTAGGTCTTATGAAAACGTGTGTGTATATACATGTACATGTGTATGTCTAAAAGTAGAGTCATTTAACAGATACATATTCTATTTTTTTCAGAATTCCATCTTGAATCTGAGGGTGTGTTTAATTTCAAATAATTAATTATACCCGATACTCAAAATGAGTATTGGGGTATATTAGATTTGTGGTGAAAATGGATGTGTGTAACGTCCAGAAGGAATCGTTTCCGACCCCATAAAGTATATATATTCTTGATCAGCATCAATAGCCGAGTCGATTGAGCCATGTCTGTCTGTCTGTCCGTCCGTCCGTCTGTCCGTCTGTCCGTCCGTCCGTCTGTCCGTCTGTCCGTCCCCTTCAGCGCCTAATGCTCACAGACTACAAGAGCTAGAGCAACGATGTTTTGGATCCAGACTTCTGTGATATGTCACTGCTACAAAAATATTTCAAAACTTTGCCCCGCCCACTTCCGCCCCCACAAAGGGCGAAAATCTGTGGCATCCACAATTTTAAAGATACAAGAAAACCAAAAACGCAGAATCGTAGAAGATGACTATATCTTCTAGAGTGCAAAATCTGAACCAGATTGTATAATTATTAAAGCCAGAATCACGAAAACAATTTCACTCTTTCTCGCTCTGTCTCACTCTAACACACAGGTTTCATGGTCGGTTTTGCCAATTGCAAAATATGAGTTCAAGGATCTCAGAACCCATAAAAGCTAGAGCAACCAAATTTGGTATCCACACTCCTGTGATATCGGACCTTGACCGTTTTGTGTCAAAATTTCGCCGCACCCCCTTCCGCCCCCGCATAGTACGAAAATCTGGGGCAACCACAAATCTCAGAGACTATTAAGGCTAGAGTAACAAAATTTGGTATCCGCACTTCTGTTAGATCTCACTATAAAACGTATATCTCAGAATTTCGCCCCACCCCCTTCCGCCCCCACAAAGGACGAAAAACTGTTGCATCCATAATATTGAGGATACAAGAAAACTAAAAACGCAGAATCATAGATAATGATCATATCTATCAGATTGCTGAATTTTGATCAGATCGGATAATTTTTATAGCCGAAAAGGAAAAAAACAATTTTCAGTGGCTACGCAGCGCCCGACGTCACGCTCAGACTGATTTTCTGTCTCTCTCGCACACACTCTTTGTCGTTTCGTTTAATATTAGCGGCGTCTGCCGGAAGAGAGCTATACTGACTTAGTATCGGGTATAACTGTAGAGTTGCGGTGTCCGCAGCAACACACAACGTTCCCCCTCGTTTTTAATCAGTATTAGCAATTACTCAAAATATTATCAGATGTCTCTTCCGATTTAATTAATTGCACTTGACAGTGGAGTCCATCTGCTTTCTCCAAATATCGTATATTTCGTTTTCCTTGATATCATGAACGCTGATCGCGTTGCGGATTCTGCACGGCAGGAACGGGATGCGCGTGTTGTAAAAGCTGCCGGCATTCACAATTTTAATCTTCAAGCTCTGGACCAAAACGGCCGTGAAGATATCTTCCAGTTGAATATAATACGTTCTGAGCGAGTGAACATATAGCTCATGAACAATGTCTCCAGTAAGAAGGTAGGCAGTTCCAGTAGCAAATGGTGGATAAACAGAGCCCCCATATTGGTGATATGGTAAAAAATATTTGTACGCCCTTTGTCGGTGTGGCTTTGCATTCTCAATTATGTGCCCATATATCGTTCGATTATCCTTATGTCCGTCTATGAAGTCGAGCAGCTTAGGAACATTTATGAACGTATCGTCATCTGTCTTAAGGATGTATTTTACACGAGGACAGTGCGTATCTGTCCATTCTAGCAAAGATATCGTCTTCAGAGTGAGATTGGTGTAAGAGTCTATGAATTGTCCTCGTATCATATCGCCATAAATATAGTTCTCCTTGTTGAGAGACTCGTACAGGGACGCATTTGTGGTACGCCCAAGCACAAAGGCTATGCCTACATCTCGCCTTCTTCCATAGTTCATCCAGGTATGTCTGATGGACATTCTCGCCGTAAAGTGGGAATGTGCTGAGGTGATCAGAATGAGCAGCTTTAAGTATTTCCCCCCGTATCCACATATCCTCTTTATATCTATCTCTTTGTTTAGATGGCCTGGTTCATAGATTTTTATTGTGAGTACTGGACGATCAGGTAATAACGGGGCAGCACCTGAAGTTTGTACACTGCTAATGCCCTTAACAGGGCTTACAACGGGTACGGGTTTGTGGGGCTTTTTTCGAGAGTGTGCCTTCTTCCTGGATTTACTTCTGTTTTTATTAAATTGGCTCGGTTTTATTGTCTTGATATCTTCGTTTTCAGCCGTCTTTAGAAGTGGATTGGAATCAGCAGAAAAGGCTTGAATACTGCTATGCACTACACTGAGTTTTTTCTTCTCCAGTTTATTGCTTCTTTCTGTGAAAAGAGATTAAACAGATAAGCAGAGCTCAGGTGGCGAAATAATTACAAATAATTACACACTTACCAGTAAGTGGATCATTTCCGATGTTGCTGCCATGATTTTCGCTGGGTCTCCTGCTGGGGATTGTGCCTGAAAATCAATGATTAGATAATAATAAGAAGTCACTTGACAAGACTCACTCAACACATTTTTCTCGATTTTATGGCGCATCGGAAACCCTCCAATGGAAGGCACATGTTTGCTTTCCTCCGCCGAGAAAGAAGCGTCGATTAAGGTTATGATAATGACAGCACCTAAAACCATAAAGAACCGCATCCTTTTGGTGTTTTTGGTTCCGACAAAAACCTACTGGACATACAAATTCTCTCGCTTGAATAACTTTATATTTTTTCAATGTTTCGTCACTAAAGAAAAGAATGTGGTTAAACTGCAATGATAACTGAAATTTAGAAAAAAAAAAAAAACGATGATCCCAAACAAATTCTAATTTTCAATACATTAAGCAGTCGAAACGTTTTTGTCAAGGCACACCTTAAGATATCAGGGTATTATCATTCAAAATATGTACATATTCAAAGTAGTATATTAAGTAGATGAAATATATGTACATAGGGTCCAGGGTCAGGCAATTGCTAATCTCTTTGCTAAATTTTTCCAAAAAACATCCGATTTCAGTAAAGCATTTGACTTTGGAAACCATCTAATATAATAATATACATAATTTATAAAACTACTATACATATCCCTAAAGTCTTCTTTAGGTCTTATGAAGACGTGTGTGTATATACATGTACATGTGTATGTATAAAAGTAGACTCATTTAACAGATACATATTCTATTTTTTTTAGAATTCCATCTTGAATCTGAGGGTGTTTAATTTCAAATAATTAATTTTAATTAATTAATTGCACTTGACAGTGGAGTCCATCTGCTTTCTCCAAATATCGTATATTTCGTTTTCCTTGATATCATGAACGCTGATCACGTTGCGGATTCTGCACGGCAGGAACGGGATGCGCGTGTTGTAAAAGCTGCCGGCATTCACAATTTTAATCTTCAAGCTCTGGACCAAAACGGCCGTGAAGATATCTTCCAGTTGAATATAATTCGTTTTGAGCGAGTGAACATATAGCTCATGTACAATGTCTCCAGTAAGAAGGTAGGCAGTTCCAGTAGCAAATGGTGGATAAACAGAGCCCCCATATTGGTGATATGGTACAAAAGATTTGTACGCCCTTTGTCGGTATGGCTTTGCATTCTCAATTATGTGCCCATATATCGTTCGATTATCCTTATGTCCGTCTATGAAGTCGAGCAGCTTAGGAACATTTATGAACGTATCGTCATCTGTCTTAAGGATGTATTTTACACGAGGACAGTGCGTATCTGTCCATTCTAGCAAAGATATCGTCTTCAGAGTGAGATTGGTGTAAGAGTCTATGAATTGTCCTCGTATCATATCGCCATAAATATAGTTCTCCTTGTTGAGAGACTCGTACAGGGACGCATTTGTGGTACGCCCAAGCACAAAGGCTATGCCTACATCTCGCCTTCTTCCATAGTTCATCCAGGTATGTCTGATGGACATTCTCGCCGTAAAGTGGGAATGTGCTGAGGTGATCAGAATGAGCAGCTTTAAGTATTTCCCCCCGTATCCACATATCCTCTTTATATCTATCTCTTTGTTTAGATGGCCTGGTTCATAGATTTTTATTGTGAGTACTGGACGATCAGGTAATAACGGGGCAGCACCTGATGTTTGTACACTGTTAATGCCCTTACTCGGGCGAAGATTTTTCTCTTCCGTTTTATTGCTTCTTTCTGTGGAAAAAGATTAAACAGATAAGCGAAGCTCAGGGGGGTATAATTAGAAATAATTGCACACTTACCAGTTAGTGGATAATTTCCGATGTTGCTGCCATGATTTTTGCTAGCTCTCCTGATGGGGATTTTGACTGAAAATCAGTGATTAGATAATAATAAGACGTCGTTTGACAAGACTCACTAAACACATTTTTCTCGATTTTATGACGCATCGGAAACCCTCCAACGGAATGCACATATTTGCTTTCCTTCGCCGAGAAAGAAGCGTTGATTAAGGTTATGACAATGAAAGCACCTAAAACCATACAGAGCCGCATCCTTTTGGTGTTGTTGGTGCGGGTTTTCACTAAACGTACTGGACATACAAATTCTTCTATTGTATTCCTTTATATTTTAAGTATTTCCTCACTGAAGAATATATGGTGGTTCAATTGAAATTATAACTAAAATTTAGATAAACAATCCCGATATCCAAAAAACAAATTCGAATTTTCAATACATTAAGCATTCAAGCAGTCGAAACATTTTTATCAAGGCACACGTGCCTCGACCTTAAGATTTATAGGTATTCTGTCACGAGGGTCACGAGATGAACGTAACCAACAAAGACAGTTGGAACGGAAAAAAGCAGTTGAGTTTTTATAGTCTCTGAGATTTAGGCATCAATTTAGGCAATGTGCATTAACACGACGATTGATCCTGACCAGAGTCACGATTCTCTATTAATAACGGGTATACTTTTGGCTTTATAATGCAATGAAATGTATGATCAGATGCTAGATATCAACAAGTTGTTTACATTTTTTAATTGACACTTCCGATTTTATTACAATTCTGTCGACTAAATGCGAGTAGTAAATGTTTTGAAATTTTGATACAATGCAGTTGCCTTACACCTGACAGTCGAGGCCATCAGCTTCCTCCAAAGATCGTATTGTTCACTTTCTCTGATCATATGGGCGCTGATCGTGTGGCGGATGCTGCAAGGATGCAACGAGATGCGGCGGTTGCGAAAGTAGCCGCTATGAACCCTCTTAATCTTTAAGCGATTGGCCACAAAACCCGTCATGAAGACATCCTCCAGATGAAAATAATACGTTCTGAGCGAATGAACGTATAGATCATGTACCGTATCTCCAGTGAGAAGGTAGGCAGGTCCGGTGGTAAATGGTGGATAAACGCTGTACCCATATTGTTTGTCAGACACAAAATTTTTCGAATTGTTACTTCGTATTGGCTTCCACTTCTTGGCCAAGCGGCCGTAGATGGTTCGAGAGTTCTTTTTCCCATCTATGAAGGCAAGTAGTTTGGGGACATTGATGAACATGTCGTCATCTGTCTTAAGGATGTACTTCACACGGGGACAGTGCGTATCTACCCATTCAAGCATCGAGATCGTCTTCAGAGTGAGATTGAAGTAAGAGTCTATGAAGTGGCCACGTATCATATCGCCATAAATATAGTTCTCCTGGTTGAGCGCCTCGTTCAGGGTCTCATTTGTGCTGCTTCCGAGGACAAAGGCCATGCCGACATCTCGCCTGCTTCCATAGTGCATCCATGTGTGTCTGATTGACATTCTCGCCATAAAGTGGGCCTGTGCTGAGGTTATAAGAATAAGCAGCTTTAAAAAAGCCCCCCCGTCCTTACATATTTTCTGGTTATCAATATTTTCGTTGACGTGGCCGGGTTCATAAACATTAAATATTGGTGCTGGCTGGGCGCTTAATTCTGGTACGCTGCTCCTAGCAGTGGTGCTGGCAATTGGTACGGTGATGTTCGTCGGTATCTTCTTCTTGGAAGTACTAGGATATGTAGTAGATTGGTTCTGCATTATTGCCTTGATATCCTCGTTCTCAAACGACTTTTGCAGTTGTTTGAAATCCGCCAAAAGGGTCTGCTTTCAATATTTCTATACACTAAACTGAGATTTTGATCCTCAGTGATGATGCTCCTTTCTGTAGAAAATTAAACAGATGAATGGGGTTCAAGTTAAGAAAGAATTATATTCTTATAAATCAATTCTATTCTGGTTGCACTTTTTACCAATAGAATGTGAAGAATTGACCATATCAATTGACCATGCAAATCTTTATTTAATGGTTTATAATAATCATAATAAAAAGCGTGAAATCGAATTGGATACTGGCCGTGCAATTTTCGTTCGACTTTCTTGCGATGGCATGCTGTTGATTAAGAGGTTGCCTGAAAAGAGGCACAAGCCACATTTTGCTCTATGTTTTTGAAGAAATTTACCGGAGAGCTATAAATACGTAAAAAGTTTATAAACTATACGAGTCCCTAGTACCCAGTGCTCGGTAAACTAAATACTCAGTTTAACATTGAATGTTAAGCGTAATCTGTTAAATAAATAATTAAAAACATCATCTTGGGGGGTATATTCAAACAGCTGCAACGTAGCTATACGGTTTTTGACTAGTGTTTTAAATTACTACGTTGACGTTGAATGGGTGCACCAACAAGTGGACAAAGTGTCACAAAACCAAGTCGCGCTGCCGCATGACACGCGTCACGTATCACCTAACCGGTCACGTACGTGCAGGAAAGATAGATGTTAGACTAGTGATCGACGTAAATTATAGCTAAACTAACAGTTTTAAGCATAAAACATGAATATGGTACCTATAAGCCCAAATACAAACCCGAGTAGGCAGACCAATTAGTCACTTAACAAGTATTTACACCGCTTTTTAATGTCCATCAATTATCAAATACTATTTGTATATTTGATAAGAAACAAAAATCGGGAGCAAATAATTTAAAAAACAAAAATGTCACGTCTGATTTTGCAAGGTATTCCAAATATAGTATTGATCTTTTGTATCGAACGTACAATATGTAATGAACTGATGTGCAACCGCTGTCATCACCATTAATTTCCAAGCTTTCTGGAACCCCACCCTTCAAGACAGTGTCCTCCAGTTTAGGCCCAGTCGGCCTTTTATTCAAATGCGTGTTCAGAAATTCCAGGAACTTGGGACCATTGAGAAACATTATGTGGTCGCTTAAAAATTGTTTTTCTACCTAGCTAGGATTTTATATAATTAAAGAAAAACTAATTTCAGGCTAAAAGTAAAAATAAATTTAAATTAATCGTTTAACTTTGAAAAAACTTTCCGTCGTACTTGGTGTTGACTGTACTCTTGGTACACGTGTCCAAGGTTGTAAAAAGGTCGACGATAAACACACTAGAAACTTCTCTCGTGCGGCTGGAATTGGATCCCAAATTAATATGGCATATTTGAGCGCACACCGAAACAAAGCTGAGACTCTAATTGGCTAAAGATAAAGACCCATTTAGAAAAGGGGCCAAATATCAAAACGCGGGTTGTGCAATACCAAATTACCTGTCGGGGTTTGAAACTGGGTTTTAATTCGGAAGAGCACTCAATAGAAATCATAGCACAAATCGGTCGAACTGCTTTGTCATGTGCCAAGCCCCCTTAAGAAGGTCATGATATTTGATACTTGTTCATATTTCACCTACTAGAGGTTAGTTATCTGATGGGGTTTCTAGCACTTTGCCCTCAATATTTTTCCTTATTTTGCTCAAATTACTGCACTTTAATCGGTGAGATTTTAGCTGATTCCTTAATGAGTCTTGAAAAGATGCACTGTACTTTTATATTGTTTTCAGAATTTACAAAATGGGCCAAAAAGAGAAAAAGATGCATAGATGCATAGATGATCTAGGATCTATTTCGTCGATCGCATGTTCAGATTAACTTTGTGGTTAATTCAATGAATCGTTCGATTTCCTTGTGGTTGTCTCTGTAGTTTGCTTTATCTTATCCATTAACGTGCCTATTTATTTTTTGATTATAAAAAAAAAATTAACTATCTACAGAAATCCCTGACGTGAGGCAACTGTCTGAAAGCGTTGATATTTGTTCTAGATAGGGTTTTTATACTTCAAATCAAATGGCAAATCGGAAACACAAGCCCTGTAAAACAAACAGCTAGACGGGAGTAGCTAATGCTCGATAGCAGTTCGCCTACAGTCGATGATAGACGTTTGAAAGTAGAAGGCAAATTGAATTTTCTCTTGATATACATACATGTATTTAGTGTTAAGATATAACCACAGTTATCGCTCAGTAATTATCATTTAAATAATGGCATTCATAATGCTAAAATTAAACTACTAAACCTTTAAAATGTACTCTCTTCGCCCTCGATTCGTATGCATATAAGATCGATACCATTGATCGATGACAAATTTGTGATATTCCTAGGACTTAGAAACTAGACATAATGCTAATAATCCTATAGCTGCTTTTTGCTACATCCATTCTCTATCATATTACATAGATTCTTCACTTTCCTTGCTTCCGTTCTGCTTATCTGCTTACTATCTGCCCCCCTTTCACAATCTAAACTTAAAATACTATTTACACTTGGTTGTCTGATCCAGCAGCTTCTTCCACAGATCGAATTGTTCGTTTGATTTGATCATGTGTACGCTGATCGCGTTGCGTATGTTGCACGGGTTGAACGAGATGCGGCGATTGACGAACTCATTCACCTGCACCCGCTTAATGTCTAAGCTCTTGGCCACAATGCCCGTGGTAAAGACATCCTCTAGCTTCAGATAGACTGTCTTCAGGGAACGGACATACAGCTCGTGCACAATGTCCCCGGTGAGGACGTAGGCGGGACCGGTGGTGAATGAGGGAAACACTCCCGCCGCAAACTGATCGACCGATACATAATACTTTGATTTCTTATTACGTATGGGCTTCCACTTCTTGGCCAGTCGGCCGTAGATGGTTCGCTTGTCCTGATGCTTGTCCAGGAAGGCCAGCAGCTTGGGCACATTTATGAACATGTCGTCATCTGTCTTAAGGATGTACTTGCAACGGGGGCAGTGCAGGTCAGCCCATTCCAACGAGGAGATCGTCTTCAGAGTTAGATTATTGTATGAGTCTATAAAGTTGCCACGTATAAGATCTCCATAAATGTAGTTCTCCTTGGTGAGTGCCTTGTTAAGCGTCTCGTTGGTGCCGCGGCCCAGGACAAAGGCCATGCTTACATCCCGCCTGCTCCCGTAGTGCATCCAGGTCTGTCTTATGGACATTCTCGCCGCCTCATGCGACTGTGCTGAGCTGATGAGCACAAGCAGCTTGATGGTTTCTCCCGCATGTGGACAAATGCGATCGGCATCGATCTCCTCGTCGATGTGACCGGACTCATAGAGCTTCTCTGTGGCCACGCCCTTGGAGGGATCCACCGGGGAAGGTGGTTCCTTGACGCTGCTCCTACCCTTGGTGGTGCGTATTACTGGTACAGGTGGTCGTCTTGCTTCCATATTGGTTTTCTTGGCATCTTTCATCGGATTAGAAGGAGGGGCCTTGACAACCTCGACCACCTTCTGTTTATCAGAATCAGCCGAGTATCCCTCAAAGCCTTCATTCTTGCCATCCTCCGGTGCTTGGTTGGCCTTATCTGTGGAAATATGGAAAGTTGAGCAGTTGAGAGAGGGATGCATTGTCATTAAAAAAAGTTGGGGGAGAGTTCTATTCTAATTAGTCCAACCATACGACAATTGACGTATCAGGTAACGAACGACAGACATTTGCGTTGTTTACATTGCTATTGTCAGGGGGAAACACGATACGTGTTCATAAGCGTGGGACTCAACAGACGTTTAGTTGACTAAGCGCAGACGTTTGTCATTGCCAAGTCGTTTCGACGTCACCAGTGCCTATGTATGTATAAGTATTTGGTGTTTAAATATGAAAACTCAACTCAATCGATTCCATAAACAGTGTGTTCCATACATATCGTAGGAATATACAAAATATCAATTAGATAAGTAGATGTTAACATAATTTTGTAATCTAATTGAGCAACAGATTATTGCAAGACCTTATTGTACTTCGACCATACATACATATATTGACGTTTTGTATTGGTCAGTAGGATTATGTGTGGTCTCTGTTGCTCCCCCCAAGCCTATCTGTTATGGAGCTCTACTTTATCCTAATGGAATATCAGTTATGAAGCCCTACTTTATCCTTAAGTCTGTCTTTCTTGGATTCCTACAATATCCCTACCTATGTGCTGGTCATTTCCGTTTGCTGCTGCGGCAACTCCACTGCCGCTGCCGGTGCCACTGCTGCTGTTCGATGTGATGTTCTTCAATATCTTATCGGCATTCTCGATGAACTTTTGTAAATTAGAAGTTGGTATGAGAACCTCTGCGTCGGATTGTGCCTGCTGCTGCTGACTGGGCGACTGTTGCGACTGGGCGGGGGAGCCAGGGCCAGTGGCTGGTTGTTTGACAACCAATACCTCGCTGGTGCTGTTGCTGATATTGTTGTTATTGTTGCTGCTGATGTTGCCTGATGTAATTAAATATTAAATCATTAGCATAATTAGCACTGGAACAGACCGACAATACTCACCAGTGATACCATCAACACTTTGGCCATACTGCTGCTCCTCGAGCATCTCTTCGGCAATGGCATTGGGCGTCTGGTCATTACCAACCTGACTGGGACTGGCACCAGCAGAGCCTCCATCCAGCAGGGCATCCTCATCGATCGTGGGCAGCCGATGCTGTGGAGGGTGCCTTCTGTGAGTGTCTGCCTGCTGCTGCTGCTGCAGTCTGATTTGGGCCTTGGGCACAGCCTCGCCCGTGGCCAGGCCGAACTCTCCCGTGTTGTTCGTTTGAATCGGACTTCCGCCCACAAGCTGCTGTGGCGGCGACGCTGCTGGTCGCACACGAGTCGGTGTCAACGTCGCCGTCGTCGAGTACGAGGCATAGATGAAGATGGTGAGGATGACGACCACTAGGACTAAGAGGAAGCGCAGCATGCGCGTATTGTGTAGATTCCCCACGGCCACCATGGTGCGCACTGGATCTCCTCCTCCTCTGTTTCGTTGTAATTTCTGT